GTGGTCCGTCGGGCACCTGACAGGCCAGCCGCGGCCCCCTGGACCGGAGCCCTCCGAGAGGCGGCGCGAGCGCGCGCGACAGTGTGGCGGCCGCGCCCGCAGAGCACGTCGAGGACCCCCGGCTAAGGATCGCGGAGTCGGCGAGGACGCGCGAGGAGTCGTGAAGCGCGGCGAGGACAGTGCTGTGCTGATGGTGACCTGGTGGATTGGATTACCCCGCCGCACGGAGAGCAGCAGCGCGGCGAGCGCCTCGCACCATGGGGGCTGGGCGGCAGGCGAGCAGGGGGCAGGTGAGTAGGGGGCGGGTGCGCAGAGGGTGGGTGGGTGGCCAGTAGGTTGATTCCTTTCGTACCTCCGCCCTTGTCTCAGTCAGGGGTGACTGTGAATGGCATTTGATGATAGAGGGAGGAGACGACTAGCCACAGTGTGGAATCATCCTGCAGTGCAGGTGCGCAGGGGGTGGGTATGGGCAAGGGGCAGGTGGACAGGGTGGGTGGGCAGAGAGGGTTAGTGGGCAGAGGGTTTGGGGCAGAGGGTTGGTGGTCAGAGGGTAGACGGGAAGTGGGCGGAGGGCTGATAGCAGCTCTAGAGGTTCAAAGGATGTCGCGACATCACGGTTAAAGGCAAAGGCCCAATAAAAGCTATCCGGTATTACCGTGCATTTTGGGACAAATAATAGAGAGCAGTATCAGGATGTTTTTAATGTGCATGGCAGAGTCAACTAGAGCGGAAAATTGTTGCTAGGGGGTAACAAGGATAAATACCAACTAAGGGCAAAGGAGGGTGGCCATATGGGTCAGCAAACAATATGGAGGAAAACCAAGGGGATCCCGTTCTGGGGAAGAAATACTTGTGGACAGAGAGCTGGAGTGAGCAGAGACACGCAGCAAGTTACTGTTAGCTTTCGATGGGGTATCGTGTTGCTGAACAGAAACGTTAATTCTTGTCTTGAGATCTCAGTTCTAAAGTACCAAATAATGATGACAATTTGATCCACAAGCGACATTTCCCCACTTGCCTTGATTCTTGTGAACGAGAATCCATAGATTGCGCGGAACGCTACTCGCAACGTTCATGCTGTTTACAGAGAGGATTTCCACGACTGCTTGATCCGCCCCCTTCTACTTGTCCTTATTGTCACCAAGGCGCCTCGTCACAACTAACTACAAATGATGCTTGCCTGCCAATGTCCTAACTGCTAACCGCTTAGCCTGATACAGCTTTAGTGTGACCTGTAATATTGTCAGTGTTATTTATCGGCGTATGATGATTGACCTCACGCATGAGAAGAACGAGAATGCGTTGACGTGTGCTTGCTTGGACGAGTGAAGGGGCGACCGATATGGAAGGTGGGAAAAGACACTGG